ATGGACCTCAAGCTCGACTGGCTCGTGTCCCACGCCCGGGCCTCCGGCACCGCTGGCAGCGCCGGCGACGCGGGCTGCAGCTCGCGCGCCTTCGGCTCGTGGGGGTCGGCGCCGGTCTATCGCGGGGCGGCGGATCTCCGCGGCGCTGCGGGCGGAGGCCCAGGGGCGCCCAAGACCTCCTGGAAGTTTTTCGCGTCGCGAAGATTGGGGGCGGCCAGGAGGGGGGATCAGTGGCAACGATTTTTGATTCTGTTTGGGAGGGGGATCGGGATTTGTTTTTAGTTGTGGGATCAGGAGGGGGAAGGGGTAATTTTTGTTTGTTCTTAACTTTTCGTTCCAAATCCGCCTGTAAGAGGACATGCCCGACCTAACCCTTGAGGCCTCTTGGGCGCTCCTGGGGCCATCTGGGTGGCCTCTGGGGCCGTTCTGGGTCTCGGGGGCAACGATAGGGGGGGATAGGCATAGGGGGCGATGTATCGATCCTCCATCGCTGATAGCCCCCACTCCGCCCAGGAAGGTGTGGTTTTGTTTTCGGGAGCCCATCGCCGATGTATCGGTATCGCCGATTCCAGGTCGATGTGTCCCCCCTATGCCACTTACCCCCTATCAGTGTCCCTCAGGGGATCCAGGTCTTCCAGATGGGGTCCAAGTAGATGGGTTCTGAGGATCGCACCGCAACGCCGATGCATCGACGATGTGGCTTGGCTCGATGTGGAGCCTGACTTTCCCCCAAGCCAACGTCGCCGATGCATCGCCGATGCATCGCCGATACATTTGCGATACATCGGCGATGCGGTGCAAGCCTCCGACACCATTTTCTCAGACCGCATCCAGGTGTCCTCCAGGTGGTGACTGGGGGGGGATACCCTGGCAGGGGCCACCAGGATTTGATGCCCTCGTCTCATTTCAAGAAGTCACCCGGTCCCCCCCCCCCCCTCGTCCGCGCACATGCCTCGGGCCATGATCTGCGAACCCCCTCCTTGGATGCCCCCATTCTTGGCCGCCCCAGAGAAAGATCACGGCGGGAGTTTTACCGGAAGCAGCTTGCTGAGCTGGGCCATGCTGTGGGTCGTAACTAGCTCCAGTCCAGGGACGAGCGCGCAGAGACAGCCTCAAGGACATTTGGTGGTCTGGCCCGCTTCGCCTGAGGCATTCGCACAACTCATTTCTGAGCTGGCCAGGATTCGGCGTTTCGCCGCAGACATCCTCGCAACTCTGAGCTCCGAGATGCCGGTCTCGAGGTGGTTCGGTGCATTTTGCCTGAGACATCCTCGCGAGGTGCCCTGCGCCAGAGGTGTTCTGGCCCGTTTCGCCTGAGACATCCTTGCAATTCTGAGTTCCGAGATGCCGCGCGCGAGGTGGTCTGGCCCGTTCCGCTTCAGATATCCCCGCGATTATGGGTTTTGCTGCGTGAGAGGTGGTCTGGCTCGTTTCGCTGTAGACATCCCCCAACAACTCTAGGCTCCGTGATGCCACGCGAGAGGTGACCCAGCACGTGTCGCTTGAGACGTCCTCGAAACTCTGGGCTCCGATATGCCGCGCGCGAGGTTGTCCAGCCCGTTTCGTTTGAGACACCCCAGCAACTCGGGGCTCCCAGATGCGGCGCGCGAGGTGGTCCAGACCGCTTTGCCTGAGACATCCTCGCAATTCGGGGCTCGGAGATGCCGCGCCAGATGTGATCTGGCTTGTTTCGCCTGATATATTTCTGCACATTTCTGGGCTCCCAGATGCCGCGCCAGAGGAGATCTGGCCCGTTTCGCATGAGACGTACTCGCACCTCTGAGACATCCTTGTATTTCTGAGCTCCGAGATGCCGCGCCAGATGTGGTCTGGCCCGTTTCGCATGAGATATCCTCGAAACTCTGAGCTCCGAGATGCCGCGCGCGAGGTGGTCCAACCGTTTCGCATGAGACATCTTCGCATTTCCGAATTCCGAGAGAGAGGAGGAATGAGGGAGGAGCGGTCGGATTTACACGACCCATTTGATTCCACTTTTGTTGTTGAGATGTGCTTGGACGCAGCTCTGAGCTCCGAGATGCCGCGCGCGAGGTGGTTTGGCTCATTTGCCCGTTTCGCCTGAGACATCCTCTCCACTGGGCTCTGGCTTGTTTCGCCTGAGACATCCACGCATCGTTGCGCTCCGAGATGCCGCGCCAGAGGTGGTTTGACTCGTGCGCCCGAGACATCCTCGACACTGTCAGAGTTCCGAGATGCCGCGCGCGAGGTGGTCCAGCCCGTTTCGCCTGAGATATCCTTGCAACTCCTGAGCTCCGAGAGGGAGGAGGGAGGAGGGAGGATAGGTCTGACCCAAACGAACCGTTTGATGACATGTCTGTTGTCAAGTTATGCTCTCCTCGCAGGTCTCGGTTTCGAGTGCGAGGTGTTCTGGGCCCGTTGCGCCGGAGACACCTTCGCAGCTCTGAGCTCCAAGCTTCTGCGCGCGCAGTAGTCCAGCATGGCGCCTGAGACATTCTCGCAACAATCTCTGGGTTTCGAGATGCCGTTTTGGGAGAGAGGATGAGGGGGAGGAGAAGGAAGAGAAGGAGGAAGAGGAGGCGGACGAGTGTAAACCCAAGACCCGTCAACGATACTGCAGTATGCCCTCCCTCCAAGTTCCCCCTCTTCATAGGCACCTGCAAGGATTCATTTTCGCTGAGGGAGGTACCCCGTTTGAAGGCAACCTCTTCAGAATTTGGACTTGTGCCAGAACTCCATTCCTGGGCCTTCAGCGCCGCGAATCACCGCTACTGGTGCCTATTCACGAACCTGGATCTTGCCTGAACACCATTTCGGGGGCTTGAACACCACGATCCAGGTAACTGTTGCAGCAGAAGGGAGCAGGCAGGATAAGGAGGGAGGAGGACGGGAAGAGCAGGAGAAAGGATACCCACCCAACGGGAAGCGAGCGGGACGTAGTCGTGTCAGAACCCGTGCGGGAGGTGGCCAAGCCCATTCCGCTCGAGTCATCCTTCCAACTCTGAGCTCCGAGATGCCGCTCGCGAGTTGGTCCAGCCCGCTTCGCCTGCGACACCCTCCTAATTCGGGGAACTGACATGCTGTGTGCAAGATGGTGTGGTCCGTTTTGACCGAGACGTTTCGCAGCCTGTCTCAATCTTCCTCCCGCTTTCCTACAGTCGGCCCAGATTAGTAGATCGACCCTGCCAAGTCAAGGGTACCCTGGTGTCCTGTGTCTCGCGACCCATGCTTACATTCCTGTGGCAATGTGGCCCTCGGAAGGGTCTTCTGTCCTCTCGCGTGTCCTGTCCAATCGAGTCCGACTGTACTGCGCCTCTGCCTCCGCCTCCCCGTCGGCGCCTCCGTCATGTCTTCCGCCCCAGGATCCCCCTATGCCCGCCCTGCCGTCCGCCCTCCCCTGACATTTTTTTGGTCGGCGGAGCGAGAGCGAACCTCTTCCGCTAAAAGCTAGGCGGGCTACGCACAGCTTCAATCAGGGAGACAGGGCACAGGAGGGCGGGACCTCAGGCGGCCGGAGCGGGCGGAGCCCAGGGTGCAGGCGGTGCCGAAGAGCTTGCACAGGAAAAGGTACGCCGCGGACAGGGACCGGAGGCGAAGATCCGGGTTCGCCCTCCCCAGACATCCCCCGTCACGATTTCTGTTTAGAGTGAAGTCGGGCCTGTCCCTCTACAGGAGGAACATTCAAAAATAGTTGAGAACAGTTTGGGGGCCATGTCTGTACTATCTTTGAGCATTTTTTTTTTGAAGTTTTGCATTTTTGGTGCATTTCTTTTTTACATTTCTCGTCCAGAATCCCCCTGTAGGGGGGACAGGCCCGACCTGAGTTTTGAGGCGTGGGGCCGCGGACCCCGCGAGACGTGGGGCTCGCGGACCTCCCGCGGGCGCATCCCAAACGATGTGGCGCACAGCCTGGTAGAACCTCGCTGCACCTTAGGCGATGCTTAAGAAAACCAGAGTTTTCGGCCAGAGTCTCGATTATTCTTAACGTTTCAATGTAAATCTTAAGTTTTAACAGAAAGGTTGGGTTTTTGTTCAAGTTCTGAGACTATGAATTTCTTAACCCATGATTTCTTAAGCATTTCGCAGGGTGTACAACAACTTCACAAATTCACCGAGCGACGCTTGGCCAACCAGCCTCAGAAACTGCGACCGCCGCCGACAAAAATTTTGCGGCCGCGGTATCCTCGTGGATGTCCGCGGCCGGCCGTGAACAACGATTCGGGATGAAGAACTTGTCCCCATAGGGGGGGGGACCAAGACTTCTTGACGTCCTCGCCAGTTCTAACCTCCGGGTGCCCTCAATCGGCCCGGGGACCCAAGAAGCTAGTAGGGATGAAACACCATCCCCCAGAAAGGGGTCCAGACTTCTGCGAAGCCAAAGGGGGTTTTCGAACGTGTTCGTTGCCTCTTGGCGGCTTCCAGCTTTTCCGGCTCTTGAGGGCTTGCCATCTTGGACCGGCCACGATCGCCAGAGGGAAAGATTCCGATACCGCCACCCTCCCCTTTGTCGCCACGGCTGGATTCGCCTCGCAGCTCTGGTTAGAACTCACACCTTCAGGGGTCTGTGGACTGTTCGACCCCGCCACAGAGGGGAAGGGGATGACTTCATGACGACTTCCTCGGAGTCGAGCTTCCATCGTGATTTCTCGCAGCGTCTTTGGTTCCTGGCGGTTTCCAGCCTCGGGTTTCGTTCCAGCGGTCGCGCCTCGTCGAGATTCGTCCTGGGGTTGTCGTGTCGTCCCGAGCGGCCGCCGACAGCCAGGGGGCAGCGTTGTGCAAGGGGGGGTGGTGAGGTTCAGGGGGTGATGCGCCGACCCTTGATCGTTCGTTGAATTTCGATCTGGGACCAACAGCTCACCACGCCCAGGACAGTGCGGGTTCGCTATCGAGGGTCCATCGCCGATGTGTCGGCGATGTATCACCGATTCCTGGTCGACGCTCCTCCCCTGAGCCTCTCCCTCCGTTATAGGGCCCACCCTCCTGACCAGGGAGGTGGATGTGATGCCCGGGGCCATGAGATCTTCTCAGATTCCATGGCCCCCTCTTGAGGAGGAGGAGGAGGAGGAGGAGGAGGAGGAGGAAGAGGAGGAGGAGGAGGAAGAGGAGGAGGAGGAGGAGGAGGAGGAGGAGGCCCCGCACGCGCCTCGGGCCATGACCTGCGACCCCCCCTCCCGCCGCTGAACGCACGCCCTGGGAGGCGCTCGGATCAACGTGATGCCCCCGCCGGAGACCGGCGCGCCCGCGGCCGCGGGCCCTGAGCCTGTCGCTGGCCTCCTCAGGTGCAGGGCTGCACCTGAGCGGTGTCTCTCGCGTTCGTGTTGTTTTCGTTTCCCCGCTTTGTGTCTTCAATCCGCCTTGGACGCAAAACGAAGTCGAGACGAACAAACGGCCCACGAATTCGCCCAGACACCGTTTGGGTCCACCCCTGCCCAGGTGCCTGTCGGCACAGGAGCCGCTCGACCAGGGCTGCCTGAGCAACCGGTCTTCCTCCCGGTCCCAGCCCCCGCGGTTGTCGGGGCAGCACCGGCGATCGTCGGTGATCACGGAAGGGTCTGCAACGCGAGGGGTCGCACGCATACCTCGGCTCGGAGGAGGTCCCGTCGAGGCGAAGGCGGCGCTCCGCAGCGTTTGTCGTCCTCGGGCCTCCTGGGGGCTTCTCGCCGGCACGGCTGGATCCGCCCCCAAGACACCCGTCTGGATGGACCCTAGGTGAGATCCCAGGACCGAGTTTGAACGGACCTGGGCCGGCCAGGAGTTCAGAGGAGAAAAGGGTACCCATACCTCTACCCTTTCCTCGTTTTCCTTTTTTGGGGCCTCATCGGAGGCCCTCGTCGCCACTCTCGGATTCGCCTCGGAATCCTGGTCGGAACGCACCCTGGGAGAGGTCCGGGGAGTAGCTGTATCGGTACCTTTTGATTCCCCCAGGAGTGCCGCCGTTGTTTCAATTGGCCCTGCTCTATACGTCTCAATCTCCGTGTTACGTGACTGGCTCGGCGAATCGATCCTCATCAATCGTGCAAGGCTTGTCCCAGCGGAGTCGTTGCATGGTGGGGGCCACCTGCTCCCGTCTTGAGAGTCGTTGATGAGCCGGCACGCAGTGCTCCTCAGAGCCGCCGCGCTTAACAACATGTTTTCTCAACGTAGCAGGTCCTCCAAACATACTGTTTCGTGTGTGCTTGTTCGGTTGTTTTGGCCTCCACGGGCAGAGAGAATTTAAGCAATCTGGTTTCACCAAGGATGTTGCTCCTCCAAGTCCATAGTATTCAAACAAACGTTTGTTCTATGACGCTGGCTTCGGGTCCAGCAAGTTTGATTGAAGCCACTTGTGAGTTAGCTGATGCAAGTTGGTCCTCCAGTCCGTAGAACGGTTGCCTGTCTGCAAACGTGGGTGTTGCCAACAGTAATGCAAATATGCGGCTAACCTCATGGCAGATGTGTTCTTCCAGCCGTTGGGCAAACCCTTGCGCACTAGGAGACAACTACGGGGCAAGTTTCTATCTGAAGGCCTCCTGGGGACTTGGTGGTTCCTTTCGCGGCCTTCTTGGGTGTCCCTGCAGCCGTTGCGGCGGCCTCGGGAGTCATCCCAGGAGCGTGTTGAGGCCTCTTGGGAATCTTGCAGGTCCGTCTTGGGGCCGTCTTGCAGACTATCGAAGCCCAATGGTGGCCCTGCTTCGCTACCTTAGAACGTTTCTGGCGGCTGTCTTGGGATGCTTCTGGCGACCGTCGGAGCTGTTGGGCGGTCACCTGTTGGGCCGCGTTGCAGCCATACTGAGCCGTCCGTGCGGCGACTCGGCGGCGCTTCGTGTGCAGCTGAGGCACGTTCGCCACGGCCGCCCACCGCGCTCTGGCCCTGCGCGCCTGGCTGCTGCTGCCCCCCCGGCTGCTCACCGTCGAACTCTTCGGCGTCCGAGCGTCCCTTCTTCCTCTCGTCCGTCCCCCTTTCCCTCTTTGCTCGCCGGCCAATTCGCTACTCAGTGCCCCTATCTAGCTTCTCCCTGGAGCGGAATGCGCCGCCTCGCCGCTGACGAAATAGTGCAGTTGAGGCAGACCTGTGCAGGCATGGCAATGGGGCAGCCGCAGGTACGATCAAGTTCCCCCTTGTCAGCAACGCCAGAATGTATCTGGCACCCACGAGGTGCTATTCCTGGCGCCGGGAGATCCCCGCGCGCAGCCGCGCGATTTAACTCCGACTGGCGCCGACTAGCTACTACAATATTCGTTGGGTGGTCTAGGGTTCTCTGTGTCGGCTCGCGTTGGATTCACCCTGGCCCCGTGTAGTGTGCCTGTTTTATTATCCACATGGTTCGTGGGGGTTCGTTTTCTTTCAATTCGCGTCTCACACGCGTGTCTCCCCTCACCCCTTCTCCTCTGTCTCCTTTTTTCCCTCAGTCTTCCTTACCTCTCCTCCTCCACTCCTTAACGCTCACGCGCGTATTTGACACACGTACACAAGGCATTCGCGCACGCGCGCACACGCAGTAGCCGCGCACACGTATCAGAGGGATACGAAGCACGACACAACGCACGGCAACCACAATGTGCGCACATTTATTTACAGCCGCATACGCATCACACGTCATCCACATTGAGACACACGTCCACATATAGCCACACACGCATACACACATCGTACACATGCACAACGTACACAAAACACAACACACGCATGCAAACACGCGCACACACACAAACACAACATACAGCGCTACTGCACGCTTGGCGTGTTCACTGCATCATGCACATAATACGTGCACGACGGTCGTTGAAAGTAGGTATTTTTGGATTCCCAGATCCCACTCTACTTCAAGCGCCTTCCTACTTCAAGACTCGGCGCGTTTTTGCTGTGTTTTGTTACGCCCTGGGGGCCTGGACCCAATCAACTTAATCCGCCTCCCTACTTCATGTTTTTACATATTTTTCCGACCGTCGTGTATGCAGAATGTACAGGGCACCCACATGAAACACACATCCACATACAGCCTGACACACATCTTACACATACGCATTACACACCGACGCGGACTTCTACACTTTCGTGCACTCGCAGCGCGGTCTCTACACGCTCCACGCTCGCAGGGCACGGAAGGCGTGGCACTTTCTCGACACCAGAGGGGGTGCGCAGGGAGTGGTCCCTGAGCGCGGTCTCTATGCGCTCCAGGCTTGCAGGACACGCGTCCAAATACCTCCGCACACGCATCATACACATACACGTGACACGCCAGATACAAAACATGCGTGTAGGACACGCAGTGAAGGGCAGGCGTGGCATTTCTTCGATTCCAGATGGGGTGCGCCGGGAATTGCGGTCGCTATCCTTTTTCTGGCTCGCATAGTGTGGAAGGCGTGGCATTTCCGTGATGCCACAAAGGGGTGCGATGGGGGTGCGGTCGTTATCCGTTTCGAGCTCGCAAAGAGTGTCAGGCGTGGCCGTTTTCCGGGTGTGGTCGCTATCCGTTTCGGGTTCGAGACACGTGGCACATGTTGCATTTTTTCGGCGACACAGGGGGTGTTATGGGGGTGCGGTCGCTATCCTTTTCGTTCGACGTTACAGGGGGTGCGATGGGGGTGCGGTCGTTATCCGTTTCGGGCTCGCAAAGTGTGGCAGTTGTGGCACTTTCTCGTCGCCGCAGGGGGTGTTCCGGGGGTGCGGTCGCGTTCCGCTTCAGGCTCACAGAGCGTGGCAAGTGTAACATTTAGTCGACGCCACGGAGGTGCGCAACGGGTGCGGTCGCTATCAGTTTCGGGTTCGCAAAGTGTGGCAGGCGTGGCACTTTCTCGACACCAGAGGGGGTGCGCCGGGGGCGCGGTCGCTATCCGCTTCGGGTTCACAAAGCGTGGCACGTATAACATCTTCTCGACGCCACGGAGGTGCGCAGCATGTGCGGTCACTATTACTTTCGGGTTCGCAAAGTGTGGCAGGCGTGGCACTTTCTCAAGGCCACAAAGGGGTGCGCTGGAGGTGCGGTCGCTATCCGTTTCTGACTCGCGAAGTGTGGCAGGCGTGTTTTTTCTTCGACTCCACAGGGGGGTGCGCAGGGGGTTCGGTCGCTATCCGTTTCGGGTTTCCAAAGCGTGGCAAGTATACATTTTCTCGATGGCACAACAGGGGTGCGCTGGGGGTGCTGTCGCTATCCGTTTCGGGCTCGCAAAGAGTGGCAGGCGCGTCGTTTTTTCTATTCCGTAGAGGGTGCGCAGGGGGGTCTGTCAGCGCGGCCCTTATGCGTGCCAGGGTCTGAGAGCGCGGCAGGGTATGGTGTCTCATCGCGGCATCCATGCGTGTCAGGGTCGGGGAGCGTGTCAGGCGTTGCATTTCCTCGACCCCAGAGAGGGTGCGCAGAGGGTGGTGGCGCTATCCGTCCTGGTCGTCCACGGCGCAGCGAGCGCGGTACTCTCTTCCTTTTTTAGCATCATCCACGTATGTTGCACGTCAGCTATGCTAAGGCAAGAGTTCACACGAAGTATGTGGGGTTCCTCGGTAGCGTATTCATTTATCTATACGTGTTTGCTGTTAGTTCGTTGTGAGTGCTAATATGGAATGTCTGTGGGTCTTCTCGGATTGTTTATAGCATCTCCCCCGGCATTCGTTTCATGCCGTTCCAATTGCGCAGTCGTAAAATTGACGTTATGTTCTTCAGAGGGTGTTCCGTGGTTGCCATGCACATGTATCTAAGTTTCCCGTGCATCCGTGTTGTTGCCAGGGTTGGGTCCATTCGCTGAACGAACCTCATTCACATGTATCTGGTCCTGAAGGATCGTTGTGTCCATCCATCGTGCTGCCACCTCGGCTCATCGTATGAACATGTGTTGCATGTTTCCTCTAGACTTGCTGAGGCTTCCGGCCATGATTTCTAGGAGGGTGTCCTCGTTTGGTATGGAATTTAATGTAGTGTACCTTCGGATTCCCAGCATTCGTGAGCCAGCGTCGCAGTTCCCTCTGGATCCCGGTTATGTTCCTCAGTATTTCGCGTGTTTCCACCAGAGGTTATGCTTTTCTTTTCTGGAGTATTGTCGATCCCCTCAGGGGCCCATGACCTGTCTTTCGCATGGGTTGGATTACCCATGCGCGTTTTTGTAGTGTAGATGTAGGCTTCTTCCTCAGTGTGTGATATGGATTGTGATGGGCCCGTGTGTTGTTCCAGCGGTAAGCTTGTATCAATTTCCGGGTCAAGTTGTTGATAGTTGTCGGGATTTTTGGTATACATCCATTTTGGAGTGTAATCAGAGCTCCATGCGTGGTTCTATCTGTTGCTTTTTTAGGTGTCCTGGCAATGGGTCCCGCACATGCTTGCGTTTGTCATCATTTTGTGTGCGTCTCCTGGGCCAGTGGAGATACTTAGTCTTGGTTTGGGGCGCCAGCGTTACATGGGGGCACCTCTGGCCTATACACTTTGCTCATGTCTAACTCTTCGAAAGTTCTTTGATTTCTGGGGGGGGCCAAAATCATGTTCTTTCTAATTGTCCTATCCTGGGCCTCTTCCTGGCCGCTAGGGGGCCAGGAACACTGGGAAACGAGCACAATTAGAAATGATCACGGTTAAGAAGGAGCGACGTGTACCCCGCCGTGGGCCTTTGCCCGCTTTGCGTGTAGAACTCCAGGGTTCCTGGAGGCATGCAGTCCCGAGATTGGGCGCACACGATGACCAGGGGCGCGCGGGGCCCCAGTATGTCTCGCTGCACATCTGCTGTACAGCCTGGTGCGCACTTCGTCGGGTGTCGTGCTCTCCCAGGTGTATACACTGTTCATGTGCAATGCTTCGGGATTTCTTTGACTTTTTTTGTGGGGCCAAGATCCCTTCATTTCTACTTGATCTATCCTGGGCCTCTTTCTGGCCTCTAGGGGGCCAGGAACAATCAGAAACGAGCAGAATTAGAGACTAGCACGATTAGAAATGAACGACGTGTAGGTGTCATGCGTTCCCAGGGATATCCCGTTCGCAGCATAATTCTTGGCCCGCACTGACATGGTGTTTGTCGCACATGTTTGTTATACCTCTGGTCCCGGAGGTTAATGAACCTCATGGTCTGACACGTCGATCAGCGAATTGGCCGCTTTCGGTTCGCGAGAGGGCGTCGCGGCCGTCTTGTTTGCGGGCTACAGGTCCGTCGGTTTCGGTCCCAGGCCATTTTCACTAAAGGGTGGTTTCACTACGGTTTCCTCCTGCGAGCGCACTTCCAACCCTTCATGAATGGTCCCGCCCTTCACTTCACGCTAGCACGTGTAGGTGTACGCGTACCAGTTTCTGAATCCGCGTTCACCTTCATTCATTTTTGCGTCATGCGTCGATGCGATCCGATCTCGCCTCGATGCGGCCTGCGCCGTGAATGTGCTGGATTACCAGAGGGGGTGTAATATACCGGCAGAGGGCGAGGGGTTTATGGAGTCTATCAGGGGCCTGGCGGGGCCTCCTGGGAGCTATCTGGGGGTGTGCCTGGGAGCCTCGGGGGCCCCTTTGAGGGTGGCCCAGAACCAGGCCGGCGGGCGTGAGTAACTCGGACGTGCGTTGGAAATCTCGCCTTCAGGTGAGGGTCAACGCCGAGGCCGCTGGCTCCTTCATCCCCAACCTGAGCAAGAGGCACGCGACGATCCGGACTGCATCTGGCTCTGGGTCTCCGACGGGGGGCTCTCGTGGTAGCGCCGGTTTCCCGAGGCCTGGGTCCGACATGTCACGCCAGGTGCCCGCCGTATTGAAGGGCAACTTCTTCGCCAGGAAGCTGCGAGAAAGATCCGAAAGCACTGACACGGAGGATGTGATGAAACGGATACAGTCGCTCCCCAGCGTGCTGCGGGTCAGCAGGAACAAGACGGTTGATTATATCTACACTGTGCTGGACGACCCCTCCTCGAGCACCCTGGCGTGGTGGACTTCCAAGTGTCTGCAGGGACTCGTGCTTCTCAGCGTGCTGGTCACCTTCCTGCAGATTGTGGAGGATCCGCCTCTGCATGGGTGGCCAGCTGCCATCGTCGAGACGGTATTTGATGTCGTACCGCTCCCTCGCTCCTCCTCCCTCCTGCTTTCCTCCCCCTCGTGTCTCTTGAGGTGGGAGGAAGGAGGATCGTCGGCACGCCCAGGGGTGAGGGCAGAAGGGGGGCCGGGCCTTCGCAGGAGGCCTCGAAGACTCCCAGGCGTTCCGAGAAGCTTTCTTGAGCCTCCCCCGAGGCCCCACCGCAGTCGGAGAAGGCCCGCCCCTCTGTCACCCCCCCCTCGACGCGCAGCTGAGAGGAGAGAGGATACAGTTGAGGCCCATGTCAAGAAACACCCTGCTCGCCAAAAATCCATGCACGTCCTGGGGTCTCAGGGTTTGGGTCTCTTGTGGAAGGTTTCTTGTGGTCGGGCCTCCATTGTATCTGTATGTCCACTGACAGGTATTTCTGATCGAGTTCGCAGTTCGGCTTTGCTGTGCGCCGAGCAAGGCTAGCGTCGTCTTCATCTCCCACACGTGGATCGATATCATAGCGGCGAGTGCGATCGTGGTGCGGGCAGCGGTCGGCTTCGTGCTCCCGCAAAGCCAGGATGACCCAGTCTCGATAATATTCTTGGGAGTTGTGCCGACCATCCGGCTTTTGAAGGTTGTGCGGCATTTCGAAACTTTCAACGTGCTCATCGCGGCGGTCTATATCACGATGGAGGCCCTTCCGATGCTTCTGTACGCCGTTGCGCTCATCACGATGATATTCGCAACTCTCATTTACGTGGTTGAGCCAGAGCTGTTCTCGTCACCCTTCAGGGCTGTCTGGTTCTGTCTCGTCACCGTCACCACGGTCGGATATGGGGACATAGCTCCCGAGACTACAGCAGGAATTTCAATTGTTATGACTTTGATAGTCCTGGGGGTCATAATGATGGCTGTGCCTATCGGTATTATCGGGAACACTTTCAACCAGGTTTGGAACGCGAGGGACTACTCTCTGCTGCTCTCGAAGACGCGGATGAAGCTGCACAAATGGGGCTACACGGCCCACGACATTCCAACATTGTTCAGGCTTGTGGATTCCAACGGCAATGGAGTCCTCGAGGTCGGCGAGTTCTGCGAGCTGGTGAAGGAGATGAAGATCGGCCTCCCAGAGGATCGGATCGCCGCTCTGTTCGAGCACATGGATAAGGACGGAAGCGGAGGACTGGACGCGGCCGAGTTCGCCATGGCGGTTTTCCCGGACACGTTCCTAGAGGCTTTCGTCACGCACACGAACGGGCGTCGGTCAACCAAAGCAGAACCTTGTTCGCCGTCTGTCAGGCAATCGAGGCAATCGAGAAAGGAGCCCTTGTCGCCAGCCCTGGACAGGCCGTCGACGGCGTTCGTCGGGCATTAGCAGGATGTCCACGGGCACATTTCAGCCTCGAATGGCGCTCCTGTGATGTTTCGTCACCGAAGCTGTCACTTGCCAGGCGATCGACGCGGCCAGCAGTGGTTTGACACGGCAGCACGTCGACAGTTTCCACAAATGGTGATGAATTGAATGTAAAGTGGATGCCCCATTATCATGGTCGAGAGATTTAAGCGCTATGTTGTCTCAAATCTGGTGCGCGGGATCCTGGCACATCATCGTGGATGAGACCTCCCTGTTAACTCTGTCTCATGGTAGCCGCTGCCCTTTCTCTGGGCAAATTCAATTTTTAGTCCGGGTGATCATTCATTGTAGATCCATTTATATATTTTTTGAATGATTTGCATTTCAGCCACGGGTCTCAGCAGCAATGGATTGCCCGGTGGTTTGAGCAACCGCCCGGGTAGTGAGGGTACATTCGGGGGCGGCCGAGAGCGGGGTGATGACTATATGGAGATGTGGACATCACGGAAAGGGCCATGCTCTTTCGTGGATTTTGGAGGACGCCTGATGGGAGGCCGATACTTTTGGGGGGCAGCGAAGGCTGGAGTAAAAGGGCCGTACCCTCCTTCGATGAGTCTTCCGCTCGTGGCCCAGCTCGCGCCTCCTCTGGCGCCGCACTCGTGCCACTTGGCTTTGCTGCGAGCTCCTGACCCGCGAGCCGGCAATCGGCTGAGCGGACTGCCAGCAAGCTGCCAGTGCGCCTGCAGTCGCGGGCTCGTCGGGTGGATGGCTTCAAATACGGCTACCGCACACGACGCTCGAGCCGATCCAGTTCTTCGAACGAGAAGGAGGAAGGCGGGGAGGAGGAGGAGGAGGAGGATATGGAGGAGGAGGAGCAGGAGCGCGAGGAGCAAGCGGCGAAGAGGAGGAGGCAGTGGTCTGAGGCAAAGGAGGGGCAGTACGGGCAGGAGTATTGGGTGAGGCTCGGGAGGTTCGGGAGAAGCGGGAGAAAGCTGGACCAGGAGGAGGAGCCAGGAGAAACCTCAGGAGGAGGAGGAGGAGGACAGCTGTCGCGGCCTGCACATGCATTCCAGCCACACTCTTACCTTAGAGGGTGCCTTCTCTTGACCGCCCGCCACGTCCGTGGCGCTGTCGCCTCAGCAAAGGCCGCATCGCTGGTCGGGAATGGTCATGTCGCCTGAGCGCTGGCCGCATATTGGGGGATATGTGCTCTATCTTCAGCGCTGGCCACACACATATATATATATATAGATGTGTATACATATATACATTATATATATGTATCCGACTGGTCGTTGTGTTGCCGCTCGAGCGCTGCCCACATCCCTGATTGGGAATGGTTCTCTAGGCTTAGCGCTGGCCGCAATGACAAGCTTGGACGCTTACTGTCTCCATCTGTGAGGGGTTATCCACACTTGTTGGATTTACCATTAGACATAGTACTGATCGATGTGCAATTTCAGACGCCAGGTTTATTCTACTCTATCGCGATTTTCTGCACACGCTCGTAATTAGATTTTTTTCGTGTGGCACCAGCGCCCAGAGGAGGGCTTGTTCCTGATTATGGGGACTGCAGATTTTCCTGAAGGCTGCGGGCGTCAAGAAGGAAACACAGGCATGGTGCTGGTCGCCTGCAAGACTCGTTCTGGTAGGTTGTGCTCAAAGTTGTTGCACATGTCTCAACATGTTTCAACATACGAGTACAACAGTGTGTCTGTTTCTTGCTCAGGCCGAGCGGCCAACGCAAGACATTATATGACAGGCTCCCTTTCCAGACCTCCGACGGCACGATAGTTTCGCAATGTGGGGCTCGGATACCGCGGGCCTTCCCCCCAGTCACATGTTCCATCCCGTGTCGTGATTTAACGCATCCAGGGCCAGGGAACAGCCCCATGACGCCGAGCATTGTTGAAACCTTATGGTGTGCTTTGCCGTCACGTTCGGAGGTCTGAGTTCGGTTCGTCCCCCGTACGGCGGCGCACCAAGGGGGTGAAGTACAAGCTAGATGCGCTCGCGTCATATCTGACGTCCTATACCTCCCTCCCATCCCTTACCATGGCGCAGATCTCCTCTCTATTCGTCCAGTCGGATGTCGAGCAGGGCAAAGATCCCGAGAGGGAGCGCAATGCATCGTAGAGCACGGCATCGCAGGGCGTAGAAGAACACGACACAAGGTAGTTTGTCATAGTATGGCGTGGCGTTGCGTTGTGCAGAATTGCATCACAAAGCATTGTAGCGCAAATAATAGCACCGCACAGCGGAACATACCAGAACAGAACATGGCATACCATGGTGTTGAAGATCAAAGCGTAGCATTGCATAGCATGGCGTGGCATTGCGTAGTCGAGCAGTGCATATTCTAGCATTGCAGCTGAAGGCATGGCATCGAACAGCGGAACACCACACAGCATAGCATTGCATGCCGTGGCATGGCATTGAAAATAATGACGCCAGCGCTGCAGCGGGAGCACGCTTCGGAAAGAGTGGAAGTGCGGAAATGAGGCCAGCGCTCCAGCGGGAGCACGATTTATAACGAGCGGAAGCGTGGAATTGAGGCCAGCGCTGCAGCGGGAGCACGATTTGGAACGAGCGGAAGCGTGGAATTGAGGCCAGAGTTGCAGCGGGAGCACGATTCGGAACGAGCGGAAGCCCGAACATGAGGCCAGCGCTTCAGCGGGAGCAACATTTTGAAACAAAAACCAAGCGACAACCCAACTCCCGGGAATCATGTGTGTAAAATACAAGTACGCGGAGGGGTGCCGAACATCCCCAGGACGTCATCAGGGGAGAGAGGAGGGTGGTACTCATATTGTGTAATTGCAGAGGGGGCGGGCTTTCTTTGAAGGCTTTCTTTGAAGGCTATCTTTTTCAAGGCTTTCCAGCCGCCTGAGAAGTGCTCCGACTTCAGATGCAACTCCTGGGAGGTCAAATTCTGATGTTGCCCTCGTCCGAGATCCGGCTTAATCCCGCCTTATCTGGCTTAACCCCGCTTGATCCTGCTTCATCCGGCTTCATCCCGCTCCAATCCGAGGCCCACTCTGGCGCAACTGCCCCCCACTGGGGCCGAATCCTCCTAAATCCTCCCGACGAAGAAGACCTCCCAGCCGTTGCCTCCTACAGCCGGCCTGGATTAGTAGGTCGACCCTGCCAGCTCAAGGGTACCCTTGTGTCCTGCGCCTCGCGACACGTGCCTTCTCGCACTCCTAGGGCGATGCGGCCCTCGAAAGGCTCTGGTGTCCTCTCGCGTGTCCTGTCCAATCAAGGCCGGCTGTAGCTCCGAGCCTCCTTCTCGAAAATACGCCGGCTGCCTCCGAGACGACCCGCTGCCTGTTGAGAGGGCCGGCCCCCTCTCTCAAGATCGCCTCCCCTTGGCGCGCCGCCGCTCTGCCGCCGGGACGACGTCCAGCCCGGTGTCGCACCGGGCTCCTGCTTGGCAGCCCACATCGCCGCGCAGGCGTTAGAGTTGAGTCGGGCCTGTCCCTCTGCAGGAGGAATACCGGACATCGGAGCATATACATTACCAGTGCCGGGCTGCTTTTCAATCCCAGGACGTTCTGAGGGTCGAGGACGACGTCGGGCTTGTGCGGTGTATACGTTTTTCTCCGTTCTCCCGGGAAGCAGCGAAACATGTGTACACCAGGATCTCGTATACACCAGGATCCGCTTTCCGGTACGCGCTTCAGTGCAGGGCCGGAAATAGCGTCGGTGTATAGAGTTCGGCTCCTTAAAATATTCAAGAATAGTAAAGATAGTCTGGGGACGATTTGGTTGGATTATTCATGGGTATGTTTGAGGCTTTCCTGGGCACTTTTCCCCCACTCCGTGCTTGCACTGAAGCGGCCTAGCGGAAGTTGGAAGCTTTGGCGAACGTTTCCCGCCGATTTTGGCAGCCGGTTGGGATCCCGGGTTCCCGGTTCGGGTTTCCCGGTTATTGGTTCCGGGCCGATTTCGATGAGTTCTGGGTTCACGGGCTCCCGGGTTCCCAGTCGATCTCCTCAGCGAAAACCATCCGTTGATTGGGGTTTTTCTCTGGCCTAATTTCAGCTCCCGTCCAAAATCCGCCTGTAGGAGGCCATGCCCGACCTAACGTTAGAGGGAGCCAGCCGCCGCCGAGCCTCAGACAGTGCCCGCCCGAAGGGCGAGCCGCGCCTCGTGCGCGATACTTCAGGGCGAAGCGACCTCCCCGCGGGCTTCAGGTAAGAAGCGCACTTGGTCAGGCCTCGGTTTGCGCATGGACGGCCCCCCAGGTAGTCCGAGCTTCAGAGCCCCGAATCATCAGGGGTAACTCGGGTCAGGGATAACTCGGGTTCGTTTTTCGGGAATCCAAACCCGAGTTACCCCTGACCCGAGTTACCCCGGATAACTCAGGCGTCCAGAGCCCCGAATCATCAGGGGTAACTCGGGTCAGGGATAACTCGGGTTCGTTTTTCGGGAATCCAAACCCGAGTTACCCCGGACCCGAGTTACCCCGGATAATTCGGGCGCCCAAGAGCTGGCCTCAACCCTGGGGCGCGGAGTGCCCCAGGGGCGCCGCCAGAAGTGGCGCCGTGGTGTTGAGGCCGCCCCAGACTACCCGGGGGGCATGCTGAGGCCACGTGGGGCCACGGGAGGGGCCTGCTGAGGCCAGCTGGGGCTACCTGGAGGGCCGTCTGTGTGCGACCCGAAAGCTTGCCAAACACGATGACCATGGCTAAGATGCCGCGGGATCTTCTCGGCGCCGATCTTGGTCATGGCCTTTGCCAGCCGTCGCTTGTTCGTGAGGATGTTCAATGGGTTGCCGATGACCAAGATGGACGATGACCAAGATCGACGCCAACGTTTCCGCGTTCAGCATAGATCATGGCCATCGTTTCCTTCCCACTCATTAGCGACACCTTCCACTTGAGGGTGATCTGTGTCTCACGTAGAACGTCTTGCTTGCCTGAGAGAGTGCCAGTGCCAGCCTACAGGATCCGGCCACATCGGACGGGCCTTGCCACTCTCCTCTCTACCTCCCCCATATTCTCCACCCCTTCTGCTCT